GTTCCTTTACATCAAATTCTATTTTTTTAATTTTGTATTCTGTAGATAAATAAATAATGCTTTCCTTAATCTGTGAATATCCTTTGTATTGCCTTCATTTACCAATATATCTTTGCCTGTCCTTTCGACCATCTTTCTCAATTTCTCCCTTTCATAAGTTTTACAGTTCATTAGTACATGTTCTACATTTTCTTTTTCTCCACATCTTTCACATTTATCATTATTTTCCCTCCCTATTAAATATAAAATGTTATTTTAATAGGTATGACCCAATCTTAATCTGATTATTATTACGTCTTCCCTTCTGTTTCTCTTATTAATGATTCTATTTCATACTGATATTTGTACCTTATATAATCCTCTTCCTTTCTTATCTTTGTTCCATCTCTTTTGCCATTTTTCTATTTCTTTACTCTGAATAAGTGATTTACCTTCCCCTTTCCCAAAAGGAATTTTAATTGCTACTGTTCCCTCTAAAAGCCCTTTTTACAGGCAACATCCATATTTCTCATCTCTTATATAGACCCACCCACGTATTTTTACATATTGACAGATGAAATATATACATTAAGAGAGAAAGCATTTAGATTTTAAGAGATTTTCCTTAATAGATATGAGTTAACTCTATTAACTCATGAGAGAGTAAAGTATTATTAAAACCGAAACTTTAGTATTTCTTAGAATGCTTTAGCTTTTACACTGCAAACAAATGGTATTAGAGCTGTTAGCTTTTCATGGCCTTGCAGAGACATCTTTTTTAATCCAACAATCCAACAAATAACATTTTATTTCCCGTGATTTAACCTAATATCTGCACATGAGACGGGTTTATATAAACACATCATAGCTTAAGCAATTAAAGGGTGTTGGTTGATCTAGTTCTAGTAATCAGTTTACAAGGAATTACCTGGAAAAGTTATAATGTAATCTGCCCTGGACCTAAGACGTATAAGAATTTTTCTGATTCAAAACAAAAATTCTGTTGTAATTATTTGAATATCAGAAAAGTGTGTGAACTATTCCATTTAAATATTTTTTTAAAACCCAAAACGACTATAAACTATTCTATTTTTTGTTGTTTATAAGCCATGTTTTTCTCTAACTATTATTGGACCAACCTTACCTAGGGAAATGATGCATTGTGTATCCATCGGCGTCGGCAGACCCTTTTTTACAGGGGCACGTGCCCTGTTGTGCATCTGCGGAGCCTGGGTATACCTGGGGCACTGATTTTTTTATTACTGAATTAAAAAAATCTGCTTCATTCTCACAGTGGAGTTGAGAGAGGAGAGCTCTCCAAATTAAGCCACACACAATTGATCGACAGCTTCGCAGAAATGA